GCTACCACTGGTACAGCAATACCTTTTTCAGCTTGATCAGTTGGTCAAGGAGCACTTGCCAAAGCTGGGCGAGCATTTTACTCAAGAAATGATAAATCCTAGTATGTATGCAAGCCAGTGGTTCATAACCGTTTTCTCCTACTCTTTCCCCTTCCATTTGGCTCTTCGAATTTGGGATGTCTTTCTGTACGAGGTTAGTTATTTTTAATGTGTTGTATCTCTCTTTCGAAGTACTATTGGTGGCGGGAATCTAATTTAAAATTTTTCATTTCGTATTTTTCACAGGGTGTGAGAATTGTCTTCAAAGTTGGTTTAGCCTTGTTAAAGTATTGCCATGACGACTTGGTGAGTATATCACAACAGCTTTCTACTCCGCACCATGATAACTAGAACATCGCATGCTCATAGACTTTGTTACCATATTCTCTTTTTGACAGACAAAATTACCATTCGAGAAACTTATTCATGCTCTGCGTAACTTCCCTGACGATGCAATGAATCCGGATACTTTACTTCCATTGGCTTACTCAATCAAGGTTCTTCTTCATATCCATTTCATTGCTTCTATCATCGTAATTCTTGCTTCTATCATCATTCACACACATGCATCTTTGATCTCACCAGGTATCGCGGGGTTTGGAGGAAACAAAGCAGGAGTACGAGAAGAAGAACGGGAAGGAAGGTAAGTCTCAAGAGATTGAGAAGCAGTTGGAATGAAGGTCGTGTGCGCATCTCATCGGAGCACTACATATGTTAATTAACTTGTCATTATTTTCCCGGCATGGCAGTGATTGTCCGAAACAATGTACTTTCGACAACATCGTCCTCAATCGTTGTTTGATAGTTGCATTGTTCAAGTCCTTGTTTATGAGCTCCCCTGTTCCTGTTACAAACTCAAATGTTGTTAGATGTGAATATTTATTAAGATAGGAAACCAAAAGGATGTATATAAATCTTTTTATTCTTGCATTAATCTTGGCTGCAGTTATTCGATCATCCCCCTGAACTCTGTTTTATCAGTTTTTACTTACGACGTTTGTGGTATTTCTAAGGTTCCGGCTCCTATGTATCCCGCCCCCTTAGTACGGCCTCATGCTGTCCAAGCCCTCTTTTTTAGTTTTTATCAAGCATTTAGTACAATGCCGGTCCACAGAGGGCGGGATTATTTTGAAATACGAGGCCTCCAGTCTAGTGGTCATCAATCGGCCTATGGTCCCAGAGTGAGAGGGTCGGCCCCTAGCCTAGGCCCGATCTACCAAGTGAAATGAAATTAAGGATCTAATCTGAACGAGTGATCTAAGCCGTTGGTTTTGGAACTTTCTAAATTCAAAGCCTTGATCATTTGTAATATATCTTTGATTCAGGGGCAAACTCATTAAGAGGCAAGGAGATCAATTGTCCTTTCGAACTCCGGTGAATATTCATGGATGATTTAGATGCTGTCTTTTTTAAAGTTGAAGCTTCTCTTCATGCACTTCCACCTGCTTGATAAAATGCTTCAAAAAGGAGTTGCCCTTCCAACTTTTAAAATTATTACATGTCTAAAAAATGTTTGCGAACTTTTATAAGTGGTCTTCCGAATAATTTTTTCCGAATCCGTCACTGTTCAAAATTTCCCATCGTGACACACAATCTTTTAAATCATATTATTCATTAGTTGGAAGAAGCTAGAAGCGTAATTGACATTAAGAAAAGTTGATGCCAAATATGTGCTTGTAGCAGAAAAGACCATAAGAGTGTTTTTTCAGACTTGATACACAGAGACACAGCTGCGCAGCATTACTTGAACCACGCGTTGTTTGACATGCATGCGTTGCGTTCCCTCCTGATTTTCTGCGTCAAGACAGAACGAACGAGAGGAATCAAAGGCTGCTTTTGAGGTGGGAAGTTGGAATGCGTCCATCTCGAACCAACTCGAATATTAGACACGGACTCATTACACGACTCATAACGATTGTTTACACGTTTAACACTGCTCCAACTAATATTGTTGTTATATTTTTGAAAACCAATTTGACACAAATTTAACATGCATACAATGAGTTTAAATATTTTTTACTCAAAGCTATCGGTCGGCGCTTTGTGACCTATCTTATTGAACGACACGTGTCTTTTCGTTTAAATTTATTTTTGCCGTTTTAGCTAAAATAGTTTCTAGGATGGCATAACTTCTTATTGGCACTGAGATTTAAAATCGATAGAACTCGTGTCTGAGTTACTTTACTGTAAATCATTTTGGTTTTTCCGTTAAAATTTTATTTAAATTACGAGAAAATGACAAAAAATACTCTCAATTTTGTCAATTCATTTTGGCTCATTGTTTATTAAATTAAGGGTATTTTGTCGTTTTGATCCTTATTTAACACAAATTTTTCACAGAAATACCAAAACAAATTTAAAGTCGTATTGCTTTTAACACAAATTTAACGTAGTGACATGTGTCACTCAATAGGATAGATCGCAAAGAGACCACATAAAATTTTGGGGTCTTTAGATTTAAGCCCTTACAACTCTTAAACTCTAGACAAAAACCCACATATATTATAACTTATAAATAAAATCCAAAATTTAAATATAATGTCATGTTGGATAAAAGATGTCCATGAATTTGTGTTTATTTACAAAATCATGCCACCAAATCTCTTATACGTTTCTTTTAGACATTTAATTGTTTAATATATTTTTAATTTTGTGTGAACTCCTCCAATCCAAAACCTATTTAGATCAAATATATAAGGACATATATTCTACATTTATGTATACTAATACCATAAAAAGAAGTAGGTAAATTAATTTTGTTACAAATTTAAAAAGTAGGCACATTAATTTTCATGTAATTATACAGTAGGTAAATTATTTTCACAAAATTAAACAATAAATATTGTTTTCAAAAAATTAATTTTCATAGTAGGTAAATTTTTGCATGTAATTATACAATAGGTAAATTATTTTCATAAAATTAAACAATAGATATTGTTTTCAAAAAATTAATTTTCATAGTAGGTAAACTATTTTCATGTAATTATAATGTAGGTATAAAATTAAACAATAGAAATTGTTTTCATAAAATTAATTTTCATAGTAGGTAAATTATTTTCATAAAATTAAACAATAGATATTGTTGAAAATAAACACTAAATTAGGTATATTCAAATTGAAATTTATTGTCAAAATTAAAAAAAATCCAAATTAATTCCTCCATCTACAACCAAGACCTTGCCAAATTCAATGCACGTGATCAATTAAAACAAAATTACAAGAACTTTCCATACTGGCTTAGATGGGGTATATTAGGGATCCAAAAAATATAAAAACGGACACACAAACTTAATTTGGTAAGTTGCTTAGTTGAATTCTAATCATTGGGTTTTATTCGGATAAATATTATATGATGGGCTAGAGGCTAGAAAAAATGAGTTTGGAGGGGAAAAGTTAAATTCTTAGTAAAATTTCGAATACAAGGAATTTAAAGTTGTATATAATTGAGTGAACATAAAACGTAACACAAAGATGACATAAACATAAATAGATAAATATGAACGTGGCTCAATGCCACCCCCTAATTCGAATAAAAAAAATTCCTATAATTGTGGCAATTAACTTGCTTTTACGTTAGTGGGTAGGTATTGTTGCCATTAGTTGCATGCTTTTGCTTAATTATAAGATGCTTGCCAACAAACAAAAAGAAATTAGAAGATGCTAAACCTCCGAATCACGATATTAGGAGAGATGCATATGCATCGCCACAAAATTTGGATGACCATTCGCCAATCTTTATATTCCAAAATTAAGTATCCCCAAAACAAGAAAGTCTTAATTAGTTAATTTGGTATTAAGCATTATTGGGAATGTTGGGCACATATTCTAAAAAAAAAAAACTTTAGTTTTTTCTATTATTATTGATTGATACGTATCAAGTTCGAGAAATGCAAACGAGATTCTCTCAAAAGTAGGACTTGTATGAACTCTCCACCACCTTATTTTTTTGTATAGTATTTTATAATGTTGACATAAAAATTGTGGTAAAAAAAAGAGGTGGCAGAGAGTCTATAAACAATTACACTTCTGAAATAAGCTCCTTAACATTTTTTGTTAAGCTTATGACAGCAAATTTAAAAAAAAATTAAGTTTACTAACAAGTAAATTAACGACTGATACAATTAAAATATCTGATATAAAATAGTTATAAAAAATTTGTATTTTTTAGTACATCGATACTTTTACACTAAGGCAAATGAGAATTAAGCTAAGTCATATAATTGGCATCCTAATTTGATATCAAATTTGTCATCGACATAATTCGAATATAAAATTTCCAATTTTTAAATGAAAAAAAATACCACCAGACAGTAATAAAGATTAACGTTACAAAAGATTTGAACATGGTGTTACATTGCATGTGAAATGTTCCTAATGAATTAATCAACACAATAATTATTAGAGACACGATTGGGATAGGAGTGGAACAAAATATTGAAAACGGCACAAGTTATTATTCTTTTTTGGTTTGCGGTCCAAGTTGCGTGGACCAAATTGCAATTGATTTGATATCAAGTTCGAGGAGCATCGTCATGCGGGCCCACACAGCCACGCAAGACAAACCTGTCCCTCTCATTACGTGTGGTCGATTCACAACCACACCTTCTTATCCTTCCGACACGTGTCGCGATGACGCGCGCTCGTCCCCGCCCTCAATCTCCGGACCCCCCTTTGACGCCGTCGTTTCGCTTTCGCAGGCCTTTTCAAAACTTTGATTCCGCGATCAAATGTCCAAACTGCCCCTGCCCGCCTTGTGGACGGCGAACTTCCTATCCGCGCAAACACGGAAGGGCAGAATCGTACGAATAAAAAATTACGGGAGGTTCGTGAGTCGTTGAACAAACACACTTGAAGAGGAAAGAAAGCGTGGCATGACCGTAAATAAAGAGAAATATCGTGGCAAACACGCATTATCCGACTATTTAAGATAACGCTCCCGTAGGGGCTCGGAGCTTCACGAAAACAACGAAGCACCGTTTTTTCTGCTAACAAATTTTCGTGAGCCTCAGTTATTTTTAGGGTTTCCATTTCGCCGAATCCTTCAGATCTTCGCCTCCTCCTTACCAATTTCGTCCCAGTTTTCGAATTTTCAGGTACGATTAGGGTTCCATTGTTCGCCTTCGGTTCTCAATTCTATGGAATGTTAATTCAATGTTTTGTTGTTGTGTAATTCTAATCTTTTTGTGGTTTCTGTTCGCGTTTTCAGGTGTTGATATAGAGATTTAAAGGGGGAATTTTGAAGGAGATTGTAGATTCGGTATTAGATTATAAAAAGAAAAAATCAATTGTAAGTTTGTTTCCCTAATCTCGGTTATTATTTCGATGTTTGATTTGATTATTGGTATGAATATATGAGAAAATATTGTGTTTGTTGCTGGTTTAGGTCAAAGTTTTGTTTTTGTTGTTGAATTGTATTGAATTGGGGATTTTTATTCTATTCTGTTGTGGAAAACGTAATGATTTGGTTTAGAAGTTGAATCAAGATGTTCATTTGCAAATTTAATAGCCAATTCTATGCGTATTATCGATATTTTCGGGGGGTTTTTAATCTCATATACAGACTACTCACAATGCTTGTTTGTTTTGTGTATATAATTGTAGCATTTTTGTTTATAGGGTTTCATGCTTGGATGTATGATTGTTATTAAAAATAAAATTGGTTAATTAGGCTTTTGATCTGTGCGAATCGTTGTTTATTGGTCTAAGCAATTGGCTTTTCATGATATTTTCATAGAGGTAACGGATTTGCTAGTTTATTACTTGTGAGGTTATTTGGTGTTGATCCCTTTTTGGTTAATCCTTTCTGCAGGAAAATAACTGAATGAGCTAATGGAGTCCAAAGGTGGCAAAAAGGATTCTAGTAGTAGTAAATCATTGTTCTACGAAGCTCCCCTCGGTTACAGCATTGAAGACGTCAGGCCTCACGGTGGAATCAAGAAATTCAGATCAGCTGCTTACTCTAACGTAAGTTTTACTTTTGAGTTTCTTGGTGCATGGATTTCCTGGTTTGTTTTGTATGGATACCCTACTAATATTATCATACATTGTTCTCTGTGCAGTGCGCTCGGAAGCCCTCCTGAGTTGTGTTAAGTCCCGACATAACCCCGTGCGATCGTTAATACTGCAATCTTACTCTAGTTATTCTAGTCTATTTCTTTTTCCTACTTCTCTCGTTCTCTCGTTCCCTCGCTCCCTCGCTTGTTATCACTTCATCTGCTGTTGCATCGTCATTTGCTTGCTGAATTTGAGATGGCTGTACCGGTCTCTGCAATTGGATTTGAAGGGTATGAAAAGAGGCTCGAGGTCTCTTTCTTCGAGCCTGGACTGTTTGCTGACCCTAAAGGCATGGGTCTTCGTTCTCTATCGAAAGCTCAAATAGATGAGATTCTGACACCAGCTGAGTGCACCATTGTTTCTTCACTGTCGAATGATGATCTTGACTCTTATGTCCTATCCGAGTCGAGCCTCTTTGTGTACCCTTACAAAGTGATCATCAAAACCTGTGGCACAACGAAATTGCTTCGATCAATCCCTGCCATCCTCAAGCTTGCCGACTCCCTCTCTCTAGCTGTAAAATCTGTGAGGTACTCTCGTGGGAGCTTTATCTTTCCTGGTGCTCAGCCCTCTCCGCATCGTAGCTTTTCGGAGGAGGTAGCTGTACTTGACGGCCATTTTGGCAAGCTTGGTTTGGCAAGCAAGGCATATGTTATGGGAAGCCCTGACAAAACTCAGAAATGGCATATTTACTCTGCATCGGCGGAGTTGGCAAGCTTATTTTGGGGTTCACGCCAATCAGGCCCTACATACACTCTGGAGATGTGCATGACTGGTTTAGACAGGAAGAGGGCTTCTGTCTTTTACAAATCCGACGCAAGTTCAGCTGCTGGTATGACCGTAGAATCCGGCATCAGGAACATCCTCCCGCAGTCCGATATATGTGACTTTGAGTTCGAGCCGTGCGGTTACTCCATGAACTCAATCGAAGGGAATGCAGTTTCTACCATCCATGTGACACCAGAAGACGGTTTCAGCTACGCTAGCTTTGAAACAGTGGGCTATGATTTCAAAGATGTGAACTTGACCCAACTGCTGTACAGGGTTCTGGATTGCTTCAAACCAGCTGAGTTCTCCATAGCCTTGCACACCACGAGCACCGCAGGCGAAGATCTTGACGCTAAGTGCCCTCTGGACTTGAAGGGATACTGCTGCGGAGGAAGCAGCTACGAGGGTTTGGGGCTGGGTGGCGCGGTCACGTACCGCAGCTTTGTCAAGGACGACAGCGGTTCTCAGTCTCCAAGGTCGATTCTGAAGTGCTGCTGGAGCGAGGACGAGAAGGACGAGGAAGTTGAAGAAATAGGTCTGGCAAAGATCTAGGGTGATATTGTTCTTGTTTTTAGTATAAATAAAAGTAAAAACAAATGTGACTGTGGGGTTATGTTGCAATTATAGTAGGGTAATGGTTTATGATATTGTCAATAAACCGGATCTCGGGTGGCGGCCGATATCCGTCGTCGTTCTGAGACTTCCTGGATGCATGAGTCTTTGTTGATGTACCTTTTTTCCCTCAATAAGATGAATATTATTGTCATCTATTTAATTTCTTGTGTTATGACAATGGTTTATGTTATTTATCAAGTTTTTAACTTCTTTGAAACGGTTAGTCTACCCTTATGGGTCGGGCAAACTCATAAAGGTATTTTAATCTTCTTTTTAACTATTATCGTGCGGTTTACCAATGCCAGAAACAGAAACGAGCCTCTCTCGGTAGTTCATACATCATATTAATGGCCTGAACACGGAATGAATACAAGTCAATACACATTTTGCCACCCATTGCCTTGGTGAGGAGTAATCATCTCTTTCCTCAAGGAAGCATCCTCGCTTCTAAGCTTCTTGTTTTGAGGAATGTTAGAGGTTTCTCTTAAAAGTGAACACTAAAACATTGTGCCGCAAGCATGAGATGACAAAGTTAAGAGAGTTCCCTTAAGAGTCTCTCTTGTTTTTGGTAGAAATTTGTTGGGCATTTGGGTTGTAAAAATCCAAGGAAGGACATTTCAAACGAACTTAGGAAAATTAAGCTGCCAAATTTGACTTAACAAAGGAAAACCAATAGGCATTAAGCAAAACCTTGGAAGAGGTCAAGCAGCCATTCATTATTGCATATGCTGGAATTTGTACCAGTGGAGAAGTTGCCCTGCTAAACCTAACCAGGAATTTTAGACTTTTTAAGACAAGCATCGTTGATTTCGACTGGTCAGAGGAGACAGAAAAGGGACCGGAGGCCAATTTGTCTAAAAACAGTGAATGTGATGTCGGCAGTCGATGAATTCCAATCTTAACGCATGAGAAATGTGCAGGTAAAAAAATAAAAAGAAAAAAAGAATTCAACATGGATGTCACTTACATTTGATAAAAACAAGCGGAAAACCAAGTAGTGGGCGCAAAACTGTTATGCAATGCGCATTGTACCACTCATGTCTCGACATTATGAATGAGAAATTGATTCCTGGCTTTTCTTCGTACAAACTTTCAGGCGTTCAGTAAGGTCGAAACTTCCTAGCCGCTCTTAATTGCTGTATCCGCTTTTTATCTTGCTCAAACTTGCTCTGGAGCATCATAATTTCTGCAAGGACAGATCGTATTAGTGCTTCGCTGTTTTCTGCACCGCATTAACTAACAAAAATACATATATTCTAGTTCTAAAATCAAAACCCTTCGTGTGTGAATTATGAAAGTTAAACAGAAACTGACACCAGAAGCGTATGTAACATGCCATTGCTTGCTCGTTATGGGAGTGCTTTAGAGGATATGCAACATTTTCAGCAAATGAAGTGTGGTTTTTCAGGTTAATAAAAGATGAGCTTTATATGTAAGATTAACATACCATTCCTCTGAGCTTCTTTCCTTTGGAATCGATAAAAATCTAGCCCAAAAACTTCTGTACGTTTCTTCTTGGCCACCTTGTCCTCCAAAGCAGCCTGGGCGACAGACCCTACTGTAATTCCACTCTCAGCATCTGTGGTCTTCTTCCTTCCTTTATGATGTACTACAACTGTCCATCCTCCCTCTGCAGCTCGGGCTTCTTTCTCTTTCTTTTCCTGTATGTGCCACACATATATGCGAACTTAGACACTTTGATCAACTCGGAAGTTACATGCAATGAATATAAACAGATGGACATACACAAACCACACAATATACCATAAAAATAGATTATACATTTCCACGTTACATGGGCATATATGAAGTGAGTTCAGAGGCAGGAATATGCGGCATACATCCATGAAGTAATTATGAGGGCCATAATTCAAAACAAGGAAAAACAATAGAGCAAGCACATCAGCTATACATTATGTGTTTATAGATGGCTCAATATACATGAAAGTGCTTTTATGATCTTCAAGTATGTGCAAATTCTTAAGACGGTGCGAGCAGTGTTATTAAGAGTGAAGGTTCCCATCGCTGGTTTGAATGAAGATACTCTAGTTGTAGGGTAATTGTAGCATTGAACAGGAAAATTACCTGTTCCAGTTTTTCATCATGTTCAACCATAAACTGATCGATTCTTTGCTGCAGTTCCTTCAATCCAGGTCTGCTTTGATGGTATTCCGTAACCCATTCTGTGGATTCAGAAATTCTCAATGAGAGATAAAATATCACCATATGTTGACTTTCGTAAATGAAATAATTTGAAGCTTATTATCCATATGTATACTGATGGGTGTTTGTCGGCTTTAGAATATGAACAGTATACACCAATGAGCATTTTGAAATGAGTAATTCTTACTTTTCATTCCTTTCGAAGAGTCCTCATCCCCTGAAGAAATAAGGTAAACATCAGCCTGATCAGCTTCTACTTCCGTTTCCATTGTCTTTGTGGACTCTGATGAATCAAGATCCCTCTTTTTCTTTTTCAAAGCTTTCTTGGATACGCCTACATTGACAATTATCATTACTAAAAGTAGAATAGCACTGGTTGCAATGAAACTGTAATAACTCGGATACAAATAAATGTTCACATTCAAGAATCGTACTTGATATTCCTCTTGAGCTGCTCTCCCGACCAGCTTCTACTTCCTTTTCCAGTGACTTCACAAACTCTAATGGATTACGATCCTTCTTTTTCTTTTTCTTAGCTTTCTTTGACTTACCTACAGTAAAAAGAAAACCTCAATGAGCACTTGACCTTATAAGTATAACTGCAATAAAAGCTCCATCCAATGACTCGACGCTCAGATCAAACAAAAGCTGCCACTTTACTAAGTTCCAATTTCAGACCCTTACCAGCCTCAGTGAGCACTTCACCAATTTCAATCTCTTCCTGAGTTTCAAATGGGCTCTGATCAGCAACTCCATCATCTAATAGAAAGACAATTAGATTAATTAATTAATTAAAAGCAGCAGGAACGGATTCTACAGTTGGCACTTCAAAAGCACCCAAACATTTCCATACAACTTGAGTCAGAAATTGAATCCAGTGACCTTAGGTTATAGAAAAGAAAACAACTCTGACTTAACATTCTTATCATAACAAAACACAGACAGGCAAAGATATTGGAAATTTACAAACTTCCAACAGTCACCCCCAAAAAGGTACTTGAATGCACCAGGACACGATTAACAAATTAGACAATACAGTGGTTCCCGCGCATACAATACACTATACTGCTACCCAACTAGTGGCAACTTACCATTGATTTCATTAAAATCGTCATCAGTCTCCGTATTTGGGTGATCATTCTCGCTTTCCACAGCTACATAATTCTTCACATTCTTTACTTTCCTTTTCTTCGTTAGTTTTGTCTTTTTCTTATCTTTGGCTGGTTTGACTGAATTATCTACTGAAACAACAAAAGCAAACCGAAAACATAAGAGTTCATTCCAAATCTATAGTCCTAACAATGTACTTAACTCGTAAGAAACAGAAACCCAATGTACCTTCAACAGAGACTTGGACAACCTTTCGAGAGTCAGCATCGCTTTCCTTTGCCCTTTTTCTCTTTCTCATCTCTGCCGATCCCAACATTTTAACTGGAAACAAATAAAATTGCAAAATCACAACTTACTTATACTCTTCGCCGTAACTTTACACATACAGAGAGCAAAAACACTATGCTGCCAAGGACAATTACCAAATTTCTGTGTCTACATAAATATGAACAATTACACACACATCAACTATTTTTTTAGTGTGTAAATTCCATAATTTCCCAATGTATGTAGCATCTATTTTATATCATTTTATTCATCATCCAATACAAATTTCTAAACAATGAGCTTTCAATTCAAACATAAAGTTTATCAAGAACCCAAGTTAGAATCAAGCTAAAACAGTAAAACAGTAAGAAAAAAAATATTAAATTTATATGAAATGTGACAATACCCTTTTCAACAATATCCAAATTTGGCAGGGCAGCCTTCTTGCTCTCATGGGTCTTCTTCTTGTCCTTCATTCCCATCTTTCTGGGTGGTTTTCCGTACCCGGTTCGCAATTACCTCAAGAACCCGACTTTCCTACTCTGAGACTCTACTTCCTCTTCCTATCTGTAAATTTTTCTGGAAACCAATGCAGAAGAAGAAGAGGGTTTTTTGGGCAGAGAAAAACAAACAAAAAGATTACAAAAAGTTGGAAACTTTGGAGCTCCGCCGATAGCTGGTATCGAACGAAGAGGGAGAAGGAGGCTGTTGCCGCGGGAGTTGAGGGCTTTTGTGTCCCACGACGACTTGGGTTTAGGGTGTTTTTTTTTTTGGGTCTGTGTGTGGGCCGGGTATACAAAATTAATAAATTTAACCCGTCTGTACTGTAATTTTCGAAACTATCAGGGGCTCCCATAATATTTCAGAATTTTACTCTCTTACCCCCTTTATTTTCTGTTTTTTCAAAAGCTTTTCAAGCGTTGATTTTTCATGGGTTTGGAGGTCGGCAGCACCCATGGTGGTAATTTGCAAGGCCAAGACGCGTCGAGTGGACTCATCATGAGTCATGAGGGGGTGGGTGGGGCCATAATAAATGGGGCTTGAGTGTGATGTTTTTGTGACTTTAACTTATGGGAATATTTTTGTTTACCATTTTTAAGCGAGGGTAATATTTACTACTTTATTTATTGTAACTTAGATTGTTGAGGTTGTTTCGGGCCTTTTAACCAAATCCCCTTCAAGATTATTTCGGTCATTTCGACTCCTAATTTAAGAACAATATGGACCACATAAAATTCTCTAAGCTTGCAATTATTAAACTCCATGTTAGTGAGCCTAATATATATTTTTTTAGTAGTTCACCTTAAGTTTTTGAAATGAACACAACATGTTTTTTAACGAGCCAAGTTTTTTAGGTTCGTACCAAAGAGAAGTAGAGGACTTGTGAAAAGGAGGTCAAATGTCCAAAACCAATTTATTTCCTCACCTCCTGGTGTAAATATATCTTTTGTATAAAAACAAAAAATTTAAAACTTGTGAAAATGAGGTCAAAAGTCCGAAATAACACTTATGTGCAAGGCACCGAACTATTTGGATGGAAAACTTAAAAAAACTTAGAGTAAAATGACAAATTAATAATTTCAAAAAATTGTTATGACAGATCGCGTAAAA